ACTCCAAAGTAGTCCATCAAAATAGTCCCACTTTCTTCCCTACAGTTCCACTCTCTTTATCTTTCTTGTATCAACACTTTACTTAGTGTGCACCAAATTGATGTCAGTGCTGCCGGAGAAGCTTGGCCAATCTCAGGATGGAGAATGTGAAATCTGGAGAGCATAATGCTTGGACTCTCCCATCATCTCTGCTGATCTTCTCCAGCTCCACATCAGGGCCAGTCTTTTCTGAGGAAGGCATTTTAAGGGCCTCTTCAATTCTCGTCCATGGTCTGCTCTTTGATCCTCTTCCCCAGCCCTGGATCTTTCCGCTAGGCTCAGCGAGTTCTCAAGCTAGCTACTCTATCCTCAGTCGGGCCTGTGACCATGAAGGCTAAAAACTGGAGTTGGAATTAGAATGCAGCTCCTATCCTTTCAGTAAAGATGGCTCAGTCCAATGAGTATGGTAGCCAGCCTGATCTTTCAAAAGGTTGAGTAGCTGAAGCCATTACAAATGTGGGTCTTTTGAGAAGTCTGATTACATTAGAGGCGAAGTTCAAATATTTACAGGCTACAGAGTAGATAGGTAGTTTTGTATACTAAATGTTAATGATTTTAGTATTGCACATTATCTTTGTTAGAAACACTAGCATTTTTTTAAAAAGCAGCTTAATAAAATATGAGAGTAAAATGGTATGTGGAAAATTATTTTAATGCAGTCTCAGAGAATGTATAAATTGTGCATTAGTTCTCCATCTCCTAGGCAGAACCAAGTATATTATAAGCTAGATTCACTCACAGTCACTTTAATATACATTCGGAAAATAAATTAGTGACATATGAAATAAATGTAGCAGAAGTGGGAATTTAACTACCTGAGTGGATAATGGGTTTTGGTGAAGAACTGAAAGTGAGATAGAGTGATGTTCTGCCAACTTGAAAGTTGTGCAGTGGTTTCTACACATGTATATGGTCCTGTGCTAATTATCCTGGTAATGACGGCGGTCTTGCCTGTGAAGAAAATGTTTCAGTTTTGTACTCACTGCTTGTGCTTGGCAACAGGCCCAGCCATACACAAAGTGACCTCACAGGAAGGGAGACCTTCAGTCAGATGTGCAGCTGGTGAACTGGGTGCAACCAGTGTCCAGCAAGCCCATGAGCTGTGGACAAACAGAAGCAACTCCAAAGGTGCTAGAGAATGTAGCTGTGTTTTCATTTCAATAGCTGTCATGCCCTCCTACAAATGGTGGCTCTCCCTACCATCAGCTGCACACATTCCCAGAGAAAGCAATTCTTTCCAAGTCCTTTACTCCCAATGTGAGTTTTCATAGTGACCTCTAGCCTATAGCGTCCACTTTCTCTGTCATCCCCAGGTTCTTGCATGAAGCTATGAATGGCTCGTGCACCACTTCTTCTCGTCCTTCTTCTCCTCCTCCTCCTCCTCCTCCTCCTCCTTGTCCTCCTCGTCCTCGTCTTCCTCCTCATCTTCCTCGTCCTCCTCGTCCTCCTGGTCCTGGTCCTGGTCCTGGTCCTGGTCCTGTTCCTGGTCCTGGTCCTGGTCCTGGTCCTCCTCCTCCTCCTCCTCCTCTTCCTTCTTCTTCTTCTTCTTCTTCTTCTTCTTCTTCTTCTTCTTCTTCTTCTTCTTCTTCTTCTTCTTCTTCTTCTTCTTCT